CCCGCCCCGGCACCGCCTCCCCGACCGACGGGCGGGCTCGTCCGACGGACCTGCTTTGTTAAAAAGCACCGCCGCCGGACAAGCAGAGCAGCTGCAGCAGTTTTCCTTTAAATGAGAGCATTTCGAGGCAGAAGGGGTCACTCCAAGCTGCTCTGCAGGTATTTGAGCTCCCTAGAGCAGGGTGCAAGTTACAGCCTCGGCCCCCGGGAGGTCTGGGTGGCTCTTATCGGTAGCTCTGGGGGTGGTTTCATAAAACCAGATTGCTCGGAGATGTTGAATTCCGCATCTCAGACGACTATAAATCCTTACTTCCCCCCTCCCCCCGGAAATCCTTCTGAATTGAATACGATCTCCTTATTTCAGGGTATAATAATAGTTCACTACTGATTATTGTCTGCATCTTTGAAGTTTGGAAGTTGTAGCAAGATTGTATTTTATGTGGTTGACCTTCTGATCCCGTTTAAATTGGTTTTACGACTTGTCTTGTTGCTGCTAGCAAGAGGTGTACTGAGAACTGAAAAGGTAGACTCTTGTGTCTGCATAAAGTCCTACTGAAAAAGAAAAAAATCCAGCTCACAAGTAAAAAAAGCTGTAGGGTAAAGTAGCCCAAACAACCTGCTCACACGTTTTGTTTGCAGTTGCACCATTTTCTGCCCAATCTATCATTGTGATATTAAAATCCACATAGATTTTTTTTTAACTATGACTCTATAAATACATAGTAGTATAATTTGACCATATAACTGTAATTCTAGTTTGAGCAAATTTCATGCTGTTAACAATATTACAATCCTGAAATGACAAGAAAATATCACACCAAACTCTCAGCTCGTTTAAAACAGTACAAAAGTAAAGGATATCAGATGATGGTGGTACCTGCTCCCACCTTCAGGTTTGTCTGTTGTAGCATCACTAGTTTACAAGCCTAAATAAACTAGTCATTGTCTCTGAAGGAAACAATCACAAATAACTTGAGAGCACCCATCTACAGTCTTACACTGTTAAATGCAAAAGATTAATTCATACTGGACTAGCTGTCACTTGGGTGCAAATTAATCCATCTCATATTCAAGATATCTTTAGAAGCAGATTACACTGTAAATGCACTTGGCATCTATCCTCTCATTTTAGACAGAAAAAAAACCTGTGCTGTATTACATGGCAAACTGGGTTAATTTTTTTAACACATTAAGTCTGTAAGTTTTTGAAGTCCAGAATGAAAAATGCTATGTAAGTCAGTAATACTGAGTTGAATTGCATTAAATTGCTCCATTTTATAAAAAGTAAATCTAATATGAATGGATTGTCTCCAGAACAGGGCCCTGTTTTTTTAATTAACATGGTAGGCTAGAGATTGCTCCAAAAGAAGAGGCTAACCCTGGAAAGCTAAGGTTAATTTTATTTATGGTAATACTTTGTTATGAAGAGCAATCAAGGTCTGTAGGTAATTTGTAGGGGGACTTAGCATCACTGTAAACATCTGGATGAAGCTTTACTTTAATACAGATCAATGATACTCTTTTTTTTTCCCCAAAAAAATCATCAGATTAAACCTTTTCAATTCCAAGAAAGCTGCACATCCAACAAACACAAGGCTTAGGGATATCTATACCCACACTGTCTAAATGAACTGATGTTATTTTACCCCAGAAGGCATTAGTTTTGCGTCTAAAAGTAGCTGAGAATGTTTGCACAATGTTACTCCTATTTTAAACCCATTTCCTTCAGAAGGTGTAATTGTCCTCCTTACTCTTTCAAAAAGGTAGCAATGTGACACTCTCAGATGCAGTGGAGAAGAATAGAAATATTTGAACAGAACACTTTTATTGGGAAAATTTGAATCAAACTGCTCAGAGTTTACACACCTAGAGGCTCAGGAGGGCCCTTACTTGCTGCAAAAAGGGATGAATGTAGGTATGTTAAGCAGAATTTATGCTGAAAATTTGCCACCATTTACATACTGTTTCACAAACAGTAAAGAGCTAGATAGAGAAGCCAGTGTAATTGTGCCATGACAGCTGCCTACATTGATATTTTATCCTCTTGTTTGCTCATAATCTCTTAGTATGGCTTGATTATAGTCTTCCTGTACTATTTCTTAAGCTTTTCTCATTTGCCCATACAAAGTGTGTTTGCTCTCTTTCACAAGAGATGTGCTATCTGTGGGCCTCTGACACTGTCACCTCAAAAAGAGAAGATGTAGGCAGGATGCTGTCACCTATAAGCTAAGCAGTCACTATGGTGTTACATACCAAGAAAGCCACCTGGTGAACTGAACAATTAACATACCTTTGCATTTCCCTCCTGTGGGGGGATGCTGGGATAGATTTTTGGGGTGG